GGCTGCCGCGCCGGCCGCCCGGCCCGCGGCCGCCGTGCCGTGGTTGCGGCCTCTTGGCCTCGGCCTGGCGCCGGGTGCAGTTCCTCGAGGAGCTGCCGYAGTTCGGTGGTTTGCGTTTCTTGTGCAGCAGGGAATTAATTCTCTTCGCCGCACTTGCCTACAACACCAATTAATCTGCTTGCTGAGTTTGCTGCACTTCAGCATTTTGGTTCTGTTAGAGCATTTTGTACGGTAGTTACCCAGACGCCTTTCAGTTGATCTGTAGTTGGCTGTGGCGCGTTTTACTGCAGGTGACGTTCCGCAGGTGGTGGGGTCGGAGCGTGTCCGTTGGCTTCCCGGTGCCGCAGCTCCAGGGGAAGCTCCCGGGTTGTGCTGCGTGGAWGATGAGGGCCAGGCTGGATGAGGAACCCGCTTGGTCGTTGCCTTCGGGTGCTGCTGGGGCCGCTTTGCTTGTGGGTATCCGGGAGCTGTCATCGAGCTGAGTTCCCGCAGCAGCTTCCAGGGAACGTCACAGGGGGCTGGAACTGTTGGTGTTCACGGTGATCTGTTTGCTGACAAGTTCCTGATTCCTTGTTCCTTGATATGTGAAACTTAATTACTGGAATCTTGGCTTTCACCTTGAAGCCTGTTATATRTGGCTATTTTTGCTCATCATTCTCTTGGATTCTTTTGAGCAGTATGTACGAAGTAATCTTAGCTTTCTTAGTTATTGATTTTTCTTTTTTGTTTCAGCATGATTGCTTGCATTTTCTTTTAATGTGAATGCAAGTTCTGAGTGCAGTTCATCTGTTCTTGACTTGAGCCTAGTCCTTAGTGAATATTGCCCACCTGGCCAAGCATAACAATCATGTTTAGTTTATTACAGAGCTTGGAAATGGCTCAGGTTTTTGGGAGCATTGTTCAAAATGAGGYGTTAAAGGGACTTTTTGTGCATTTCCAAGCTATTGATTTGAATGAGAATGGCTGCTTGGGAGCTGAGCAGATATGTTAGCTGGGCCCATCTGAGCAGGAGCTCCTATTCCTTGTGGTTCTACAGCTCCAGGTGCAGGAGCAGCAGTTAATTCCAGAGKGTTCCGTTATCTTTGCATATAGTTCATTATCTACATAATAACTGGGAAGGGGTCTCTAGGACGTAACTTATTAAATGAATAATTTAAAAAGTTTGGTTTTTTTACCTTTTGTTCGTGATACTCAAGTCATACTTRGGGAAAAACGTATGTATAACAAAGCAGAAAAAATGCTGCACTGTTATGTGGTAGCTACGGATTATCTTGGCCTGGGCACTTTGGGTTAATTTTCTGCAAGAGGGAAGGAGCTGTAGGAGTTAAATGTTGGTTTCACAGGAAGCAACTTGGTGGCTGTCTGTGCTGGTCTGGTGGTCACTGAGGCCGGGGGCTCCCTGGCTGTGTCGCGGGGCTCCCCGTCTGTCGGGGGCCAACCCTGGACTGGGGACTCTGGTGGCACCAGGGGCCCCCCAGGGGACAAGGCAGCGCTCAGGGAAGGCTCTAGCACACGGGTTTTATGTTGCATGAGCTCTTAACCTCGGGCAAGGGGAAGCCRTGCCAGCTGGTAGTCACCGTGTGGGACTGTACGGGCGACGCCTGTCGTTTATCTTGAGTGCCAGACAGCAGTGACTGCAGTGAGTTGGTCCTGCAGAAAAGGGCAGCGGGATGCGAGCTGCATGGGAGAGAGTCATTGTGCTCCGTGCAAGCTGGGCTGCTAACACGAGGCCCAGTCTTRGAGAAATAAATGATATGAGCATATAGCATATGGAGTTCTGTAGTGTATGGAATAGTTRAACAATGTTTAGGAATGATAGTTTTTGTGAGTCTTGTCGTCTTATTTGCTGTTATTTCTTAAGACAAAAAAAAAGTATGTAATACTTGTTGTGACCTTTTCAGCTCTTTTCAGTAATAAGTTCTTTAAGTTAATGGGGAGATTCTCTTAACTGTGTTCTATGACAATCCAACCAGATTCTGATAAGGTTGAAAGTACCCCAAAAAAAAAAAAAAAAAAAAAAGTCCTGGTAATTCCCCACTTTTCAGAGTCAGCTGTGCAGCCTTAATGGTAGTGCAGCAACTCCTGGTCAGAGGTGAAACTGACTGGAAAGATAATGGCACTTTTGAAACCGCCCTTTCTCTATTTGTCATTCAGCTCAAGGAGTCCAGATAAAATCCCTAGTTCCTGGCTGGTACAGACAGGAAGAAGTTGCCCTTGGCCCAGGCCTTATCCTGGCAGGTTATATGCAGCGTGCTCAGAAATACAGGCTGTTGATCTGGAGTTGGCTGTCTTTGTAGTGGAGCCCCCTGCCTGCCCTGTGGGAAGAACAATCCCTGCTGCCGGAGAACCGGACAGAGCAGCTCCGAGCAGGATCTGCTGCCTGGCGAGTGCTGGAGCTTCCTGAGCACGTGGAGCTCCCTGCAGAACCCCTCTGGATAGGGAGCCCCTGTCACGACCTGCTGTTGTACGTGACGAGCTCAGGAGATGCCAGGCTGGTGGATTCCCTGCATGTGAAGCTGTGTTGGTGTGTGCGTACGAGCCTCCACAGCGACTTGGCTCTGTAGCAGCCTCTTGTGCCCTGATGCAGACAGAAAGAAGGCACAGAATGAGAATAAAGATTTGTGCAGCCAGTGCTCAGTCTTACATTGCTCTCTTGAAGTTGATGATCCTAGTGGAGGTGCGAGAGAGCAATGAACTTTGTGTTAACTGATATCAGTGCTGTTATCTTAAGCACTGAACATGCTGAGGTTGAAGTCAAGTTTTTGTGTGCTGTCCGTGTGGAGTGTTTATTGGAGTGCATCACTTGTGGATGCTTTTGGAAAATAAACAAGAGCTGTGTCTTTGCTTAGACTAATACACCACTTGAAAAAGAAACTATGATAAATTCTTGATCTATAATATAATTGAAGATTTAAAATGATGTGGACCTTGGAGATAGGTCCAGATAGACACCCTGTCTGTGTCATAGCATATAACTTACACAGTAAGAATACAATATAAATAATAGAATAGCCAAATATTCACAGTATGTAAATACTAACTGCAGCCTTGCTTAAAAAAAATAAGAACAAGACAAAATAAAAACACTTAAGTAGCAAAAGAAAGAAAAAAAATGYTCTCTTCTTATTTCCTTAGGAAGATGTTGAGATTCCCAGTAGGCGGGTTTTGATTACTGGTGCTACCGGGCTTCTTGGCAGAGCTGTGTTCAAAGAATTCAATGGGAACAACTGGAATGCGGTGGGCTGTGGATACAGGAGAGCGCAGCCCAGGTTTGAGCAGATCAATCTCCTGGACTCTATTGCAGTTCATGACATTGTCCATGATTTTCAGGTAAGTTTCTGGAGTATGAARTAGATGAGGATGAAACAGATCAAGTGGACTTTTCATAATAATGGCCTTAGAGAGCTTGGTCAGGTCTCACCACACTTGCATTGGTAGTTGGAAGAAAAAAATAGATGTGTTAGTATCAAGAAGTTTTGATGAAGAACCCCAGTTTCAGTGATGGGCTATTTTGCCTGTGGTACAGTTAAAAAAAAAAAAAAATGTATTTTCAACCAACCTTATAAGGGAAGTAGTTAAAACCTGACATTTATTAAGCAGGAAAAAAAAAAAAAAAAAAATGTATTTTCAACCAACCTTATAAGGGAAGTAGTTAAAACCTGACATTTATTAAGCAGGGAACCATTCTAGAAAATGGCTTGGAATATCTAGGTGGTAATTTATATGTCAGGTAAAGGGTTTGTCTAAAAAGAGTTTAGGAAACACTTAGGTATGGTTCTGTGGCAGTATGTTATTGTTTTTCCCATGTTTTCTATTATGCTGAGTTAAAGAAACTTTCTGCAAGTTTCAAGTTACTGAATATGATGATTGCAAAACTAACGACCGAAGCTTTATTATTATTTTATTATGAAATATTGAGGCAGGTTGAATCTGTCTCATTTTGTAAGTAAAAGACGCTTCTAAATGCCATGATTAAAAATAACACTGCTACTTGTATTACTTGTTGCAACTTACTTGAAATGTTTTTTTTTGTCTGAGAGCCTGTCTCTAGAGTTAGGGTAGAACTGTAATCTTTTGATCAWGTTCCTTGTTTAAAATGAGTCTTGAATTTGCAGCCTCACGTTATAGTGCATTGTGCTGCCGAGAGAAGGCCGGATGTTGTAGAAAGTCACCCCGATTCTGCTTCTCAGCTCAATGTGGCCGCTTCAGGCAACCTGGCCAAAGAGGCAGGTAAAGAGGCCGCCTCGCGGATTGATTTTGTTGTCGAGATTCTGTACTCACTGATACACAAACCTAAATGTGTTTAGTTACTTAAAATGCCAAATGTCATATCTCCATGCAGTGGGTAGTCCTTTCATCTCCTGCAAGGACAGTGTCACGCATAAGTGAAGGGTTAGGGAAGAGATCAGCAGAGGGAGCGAACGGGGCTGCTAAGAGATGAGATGCTGTGGAGGTTTAAGGGTTTTATCCAGATTGCAAACAAGACATGAATTAAGATGGACTCCGTTTTCTTTCTAGCTTCAATTGGAGCTTTTCTCATCTACATTAGTACGGACTATGTATTTGATGGAACGAGTCCTCCTTATAAAGAGACTGACGCACCAAATCCCCTGAATTTATATGGTAAAACAAAACTGGAAGGAGAAAAGGCCGTCCTAGAAAATAATGAAGGTAAGAGTACACTTGGAAAAGTCTAATATGTCTTGGTTTTCCCCCTTATTGATGAAAGCTTATGCTGTGGTAATGAACAGTATACATGGAAATGAATTCACATAAACTTACTGCTTGGAAATTGAGTTGAAGGCCAAATCATTATTTGAGGACAAACATAGTAGTTAGCAGAAACCAAAAACGAAATACCTGTCTAATATAAAGAATTTGTTGACTCTTTTGAAACATCCTTTAGGTTGCATTAGTTGTCACCCCTATTCATAACCCTGCTAATCGGTTTAAATTCTTTTTAGATGCTGCAGTGCTTAGGATTCCCATCTTGTATGGAGAAGTAGAAAGACTGGAGGAAAGTGCTGTGACTGTTATGTTTGATAAAGTCCAGTTCAGTAATAAATCGGCCAACATGGACCACTGGCAACAAAGATTTCCTACTTATGTCAAAGATGTAGCAGCTGTTTGCAGACAACTAGCAGAGAAGAGAATGCTGGTAAGAAACTGAAGAAAGAAGCTTCTTAAGGCCAACAACAGTTAAGAGTTCTTGGCTTTGCTTCTGAAAACCTGACTGCTGTGTACAACCTGCAATGGTTTTGSTGTTTCCAAAAGCCTTTAGAAGGGGGGAGAGGAGCAAAATATYTGCAATACAACCGTACCTTCCCTTTCCGTGATTGTTGTGTTTCTCTGATGTTTGAAACGAAAGTCAGTGGAGTGACAGATCAGTCTGAAAATGGTTAGATTTCTTGTAATATGCAGGAGAGATGCAAATACTGAGCCAACACTAACATACTTCTTGCAAATTTGTTTTTTGGACAAAAAGTGTGTGTTAYTTCAGTGACTGTGCACAGCTCTTAAAGATGTCCTAGAATGTTTTCTTAATAAGATGGAAATAGTCAATTTGAACACTTGAAGATCACCACCTTGGGTTGAGAAAAGGGCTGCCTACTTGATACTATAGAACACAGGAGAAGTTGGGAACAAGTGTAATTGTTCAGCATTTTTGAGAAGTGATCATCTAAAGTGGACTTTGAACTTAGAAACTTGGCACTAGCAACATTATACTATAGTTAAGGGGCTGGCCCATCAAGATAATATAAGGTGTACTTTCAAAGTATGCAAGTCATCTCCAGCACATATTTATTGTTGATTTGTCCCAACACATCTGTCAGAACATAATTTTGCCCCTATTATTGCTCAGGCATCACTGGCACTAGGTTCAGTTKGGCTTCTTGTTTCTTCCTAGGACCCATCAGTAAAAGGAACGTTTCACTGGTCTGGCAACGAGCAGATGACTAAGTATGAAATGGCCTGTGCGATTGCAGATGCTTTCAACCTTCCCAGCAGCCACCTGAGACCCGTAAGTGGTGTGTGCAAGCTGTAGAAATATGTAAGTCATTTGAAGCAGTAATAGCTCTGCAAGCAAGCTGCCTTCTCAGGATCRTTTGCATGTTCAGCACAGCAATTGCTAAGGACATGGTTTGGTATCTTAAGTCAGGAAAAAAGGCTGCTTGGACCTGTTGGATTATCCAAATTACTTAGTAATTGGATTTTGCGTTTTTGTTGTTATGCAGAGATGACAGTTTCYCTCATAAGGGAATAACTATGGTCTGCTTGTTTTTTTGTTCATTTTTTTAGCCTTAGGTCTAAATATTTACAGAACATGAATTTGAAGGTAGGAAACTCTGAGAACTTTTCAGTATCCAGATAATTCTTGAATTCATGTGCTTAAACCTCAGATCATTTTACATTGTTTAAAAGAATTGTGCTGCAGTATTTACACTCAAAAATGATGAATTTAAAAGATAGAGGGATAGCGTTATTTAAGTTTAGCATAATAATAAATTTTGATTTGGATACGCAATAAATTTGAAAGATTTTGAAGCGGAGGTTGGAACTAAAATCAAGTTTGAAAGATAGAGAGGAAAAGGAAGGAGAACCCTGATTTCTCCTTGCCCCTCTCCTCTTTTCTAATCATATTCTCCAAGTGTMTTGATCAAGGCATGGCTCTGTCAATATTTTTTCAGTATGTTTTGCTTCTAGAGTTTGTTCATAGGCCGTTAATAGGAATAAAAGGTAGAGAAGCAGAGAGAGTGAGTGGCAATCAAATGCTAAAATATTTAAACAACTGAAATTGAATGGACCGTACATGTTTGTGCTAGACGTGTTTCTTRGCATCTTTTAAGAATAACTTCTTTTTTAGTCTAATTGATTAAGGGAAAGGAGACACAACATACCCCTATGGAAAACTGAATGAGAAATTCRAAAAGTTGTTGTTTACCCTGTAACTTCTAATTGATTCTTTATTTGTTTCCAAGATAACTGATTGCCCAGTTGTGGGTGCTCTTCGTCCGCGGAACGCTCAGCTGGACTGCTCCAAGCTGGAGATGCTGGGGATAGGTCAGAGGACCCCGTTTCGAGCCGGCATCAAAGAATCACTGTGGCCTTTCCTCATTGACAAGAGATGGAGGCAGACAGTCTTCCATTAGTTTGTAACTTTTTTAGTAAAGCTATGTTATGTGGCACTTTTTTAAAAGAAAAAAAGAATAGTTTTGTATGCGTGTTCTTAAATTGTGACATTTATGAGTTTTCATTTAATCAGGTAAACATACGGTCTTGCACTAGTGAAATTGTTATCCAAAAAAAAAAAGTTCAGTGACAGAAACTGAGCCTATTTCAAGTGATGAATTTTTCCTTCCATTTGTATCAGTCTACCTTGATATCTATTCCTAGTGAATTATGGTTCTTGGTAATCAGTACCATTTGATAGTAAGAAAGACTTGGATCACTTGTAGACTTCCTTTTGGCAGATATATATACTGTTAATGCTTAAKGTCTGTGCTATTGTTACATATACAGTTTCTCTTCATTAAAAGACATGGTTAGTTACTTGATCACCAAAAATCCGGGAGCTTTTTGTTTTAGCTTTGAAAGGTGTTCTATTCAAGTTAAAATAAATGATTCAAGTTAAATGTTGGTTTTGCTTGAGCTCTGATCAAAATGTTTTTAGGAAAGTGAAACTTTATTTTTGCAATGATCAAGTGTACTTTTTATGCTTAAAATATTTTCAGAATGTTCTGTATTTCAATGCCTGCATCTTCATATTTGTATAATACATTGTATGCTTTTGTTTTAATGGTGACTTGGAGTTTAGATGGTGGGGAGCAAGTAGTTTTGACTTCAGCGCTTTTGTTTTGCTCATTTAGAGAGGAAGTTTTGGTTTTGTTCTTTGGGGTTTTGGTTGTATAAAAGCATCAGGTGTTGTGTTTTGAAGGGGTTGGTTTGGGGATTGGTGGAAACAGTGGTAGGAAGATATTGCTAGTCAGAAGATGGAAGGAAGGGCGTTTCAATTGTTTATAGCACTGTAGCTTCTTTTGCACACTCCTTGATCTTGCACTAAGGCAGCTTATTCTGTAGTGGCAAGTTAGGTAGGTTGAAGGTTTGTACTGTCATAATGTAACCACAACTCTATAAGCAAACCTTGGTTTTGCTCAAGGCTGGTCTTGACTTTTGTACTCAATTCCGAGCTCAAGTGGAAGAACAGGCTTGTTCAAGGTTAGCCTCCATCTGAGGTTGTTGGAATCAACAATGTAGATGCTCTGAGATTGCCAGCCTATGATGAGTGAAACTAAGATGAGCTGCATTTGGATAATCTGTTTTTCTGAGAATGACGCAGGGGGGTTGGGAGGAAGAAGGTAGGGGAGAGGTGACTGTTGGGTCACCTCTGAGAGGTGACTAATTAAAGGCAAAAACAGGTCAACTGGACGAGCTGCCTTGGAAAGGTCAGCTTTCAATCTGATTCCAGTAAATTCCAGCTGGCATGTGCTAGGAGTTCATAATCCTGATGTGTTTCTTGGCCTGAAGTCCAAATGCACACATGGTAACCCCCCTCCACAATTACAATAAATATTCCTTACCAGTATCAGAAACAGTTGTTGATTCTTTATTTCACCTAAGTTGTTTACCTTGTTCTTATTGGAATCTGTGCCCTTAGAATGGTGTACTTTTTTTTTCTTTTGGTTTCAATTCATTTAATGTAGTTCCAGGGTTAGATTAGGGGTTCTCTCAGTGTGCCACTGCTTTGGGAATGAAATAAAGGTACACACAAAAAAGGTGCAGAAGATTTTGAAACCATGAGTCTGAAATGTTCTGTGCCTGAGCATGAATGTTCATAGCACATTCCTTTGCACCTGCAGGCAACTAGCTGCTCATAGTAACCTCGATGCCATTTCTTAAACTGAGAGTAAATAGAGTGAGGTGAAAAATGCTTAGCAAGGAAATGTTTTAATAGATATTAAATGCTGTGTGGATTTTTAGGGCTATTGGAGATAAACCGTTCCCCCGTACTGGATTGTGAGCAAGCAGCTCAACTCAGGATTCAGTTTGGAAACCTTCTATGGTTTATTTATGTTTTCCTCAGAACCGTGAAACTAAGTGTTTGAGGAGGAGGATGTTGGAGGAATTGGGAAGTGCTCTGGCTATTCATTCCCTGGTGTTGGAGTAGGTTTCCTACCACTGTAAGCATTTTCAATTGAGCAGTTGTGCTAGGAAAGAGAAAGGGCCTCTTGGTGCTTCCCTCGGAAATGTAATTCCTTCTGAAAGGTAAAGCACTTGGGGAGCATGATGAGAGCATTTTACTGGGAAGGAGAGAGAAGCACTTTTTTTTTTTTTTTTTTTTTTTTTGCATACTGAGGGAAAATTAAATCCAAACCTCAAACCTGTAAGCACTGAGTGGGGAAATAAAACTAGGTCATTTATTTCCTGTTTGTCCTTGTTTGTTAATGGAGCAGCACCTACAGCAGGCGATATGAACAGAAAGAAAAGCTACTTCATTTAGCTTGGAGGATTGATGCACCTGCAACATAAACATGCTACAGGAGCAGAATGTTGGAACTTGCAGCTTGAGAAGGTGCATCTGCCTTTCAGGAAGCTGAAGTGCTGCCTGACCACTGATTTTGGAGGGCCTGAGTATGGGAGGTAATTGAGCAAGGAAAATAACAATTCTTAAGAGGAGATGCAATGTCTTCTCTTAAATTGGGATTGAACTTGACATTTTGAACAGAGGGCCCATGTAAGGAACCACTCCTCCCCGGGTTTTTTATTCTCATTTTTTTTTCTAAGGTATGAACTTCTTTTTTTCAGGTATTGCATGTCTGCAAAAGCACTTCTGTATTAGTGAACTAGAGAGTTAGTGGACTAGAGTGTTATTCAAGTAGGAAGCAAGAGGTTGGTTGCAGGACTTGAGCATCCTTGAGAGGATCCCCCATCAAGTTTTTTGCAGAAGGTACTGGCCCATGGAACTTGCTGGTATGTATTGCATGTGCTGTTCCCCAGCCTGGCACTGGGTTTTCCCACATAGAAAGAGGAACATGTACTAACTGCTTTGCAGAAGAAGCTTCTGGAGCTGCCTGTACCAAAGTCTTACTCATTTCAGATGTTCCTAAAAAGTTTCCAAGAAAAACACAATGACTGCAAGGTGCAAAGAGGGTAAGGGATATATCCAAAAACTGTGATGTAACTATTTGCACACTTACTAGGGGACCAAAGATAGACAAATATCAGATGTTTGAACAATATTTTCTTTATTTCCTTCTTCCTTGCCCCAAATCAAATTACTACCTAAAGGAAATGCTCAAGGAAAGCTATATTTGCAGCTAAGCTGCAGCCCAAGTAACTTGTGGCTAATGGATATTCACTTTGTGTTTTTATTTATGTCTGTGGTGTAGTCTTAACATACTGAAAAAAAAATTGAATTATAAAGTAAATCAACCTAGAAAGTTCTGAATTAAGCACTCATTTAAAAAGATGAAATTGGGAGCTCCTCTCATTCCTTATATTACTGTGGATTGAGCTGTGATGGTCCATTTGACTAGAAGTTCTAGTTAAATTTTGCCCAACTCTGTCAACAAAATGATAAAAATGAAGCTGTTAAAATTATCTGTCTTGCAAATCCTGAACTGAATCTTCATTTTTTCAGTTTAAATGTGTGATAACATCTGGGTTCTGTTTGGATGACAATGYACTTTATTTCATTGTGTTCCTGATGTAATTTAGCTATATATATTTAGCCATGTACTTTTCTGTCTTTGTTCATAATTATAATATAAAAATAAATATCAAACTCTCTGTGAATGCCCTTATTTTTCTAGTATAATGTGAAAATGCAGATTATGAAGGTGAAAGTTAAATATGTTCTTAAATGTTCTAATGATTGGCCACAAAGCATTTGGGGGCAAAAGAAGCAGTGTGTTTTTAGTGTTTAAAAGATGGAATTCTTTGGTTTTTTATACAACAAAAGAATTGCAACCTGATGTGACATGGGCAGCCTGCTTGAGCTGATGGTGCTTGAGCAGGGGACTGGGACAGGAGGTCCCCTTTCAGCCTCTACTACTTGCTGCTTTTGTTAGGATATCAGTAAAAATCTTCAAGGCATGCAGTAGTCCAGACTTCTATCCATCAAGGGTTGTAGCAGTACAAAAATGTCCCTCAAAAAATACCCTAAATACATTAAGTCCCCATTCCTGTGAAGGAAAAGCACAGTTGTATCTTGTCCAAAAAAAAAAAAAAAAAAAAAAAAACCCTAAGCTTTAAAGCCCTTCCTGCCCTTACAAGATGAACAGAGAACAATTGGACTTGTTCTGGATTGATAACTATATTCCATTTTCGTACTAGATAGACACCTTGTATGATGTTTCTTTCCTTTGGCTATAAATATTCAAGGAGATACCTGCAATTGGCACTGTTTTACCACACTCACGTTTAGGCTGCTTTGCTGTTGATAAAACTGTTGTGTTTTTTTCCTTGTTTGACTTGCAGTTTCTGGCTCCATGACAAAGCAATTGTGCGGTGGGATTGGTCAGCAGGAGCCAGGGACCTGGTGCGGGTCAGAATCAGGAGCTTGGGGTGTAGATGGGAGAATCGCACCCTGTCCAGATGCAGTCCAATTTCTGCCCAGTTAAAGGAATTGTGTGAATACAGCACTGTCAGGTTAGTTGTGCTTCAATCCTCGTTCCGTGGTCCTTTTAGATACTTATATTCATCTAGTTTTTGCCCCTTATCCTTTAAGGGGATAAAGAATGGAAAAATTGTTGATTTCAAAGCCTCATTCTGCATGCATTCTGCAACCATGCACTTGATCTTGGTATCTTCCAGGCCCTTCTAAATCACAAATTTTTGATAAATGAAATTAAGTTTTTTTTTATAATGCCTGTTCCTTCTTCACTTATTTCTACATAAAGGTGAGATTAAAGCCATAAGATCTGTTCCTAAATAAAATGTAAAATAAATGAAGTTGAACTCAGCATTTAAGAAAAAAATCAGTTCTTTTCACAGTCCCCACTTCCCTTCTAGGGAATTGAATTAAAAAAATAYGATAACCTACTCGCTCCATTTTAATTGAGAAATAACTTGCTGAGTGCTTTGTATCAATAATATGTATTAGTTTTTCTTCACATAGAAGAGCTTCATGTTAAATCGTTCAAACAATGGCACAGTTCTGCTTTTAAATTGAGTCTGAAGCCCCTTTTSGTAGATTTCTGGACTGAAATATAGCAAAGCGGTTGCTGATTTCAAAATTTATCATTCTCTCACTTGCCTCCATTTTGCTGTTGAAGTTTGCTGTAAGTAACTTCAATGTGGTTCACTTGCAAAAGCAGCGCGCTTCTTTGCACGTAACTGATAAACTGAAAAGCCATCAAGGAACAGAACAGACTCACTAGATGACTGGATTTAAAGCCATGAAGCAGCATCTACTACCAGTATCCCAGAAAGCTGGGCTACCGTGAGTTCWATAAAAATCTGGCATATTTCAGGACTGAGTCATTTGAGGAAGTTTCTTGGCTGCTTAGGGCAGCACTCAAGTATAGAAGTGTTTGCCTGTCAGTAGTGGTTCTGCCACAGACGTGTCAGTGAAGTTATTCCCAAGGGCTTTTGTGCACAGCTGGGCTTCCATTGCCAGGAGACTTATAAAACAGATCATTGTCTTTTTTTTTCCTCCACAAATATTTTAAACAGCCCRTTTGCAGGTTCAAGTTCCCTGGTTGCTAGTAGAGTACGGATTTTGCAAACAAATTCCAAACCCAAAGGTAGCTATGGGCATCAAATGGGTTAGCTGCACATTCAACAGATTTAGATTTCATTAAACTCCAAAACTGAACCAATTCACYGATAGCTGCTGAAAGGAAAATAAAATTGATGACAGCTTTAAGTGTGCTTCAATACTCTGAGATTCATAGYGTCCATAAGTGAAAATAAAATGTGAAAATCAGACCTGTTATATGAAATGCTATTGGTTATTAAGAGTCACTTTTCTAAGAACATGTGACAGTCTCTAGGGAAACTTTCAATTTCTGCTCACAAATACCTTCTACCCTTTAGTATTTCTTACTGTCTGTTAAACAGTAGATTCTAAATAAAACTTGGTTGTCAAAAGTTGAAGACATTTCTCATCGCACAAAAAAGAAATGTCACATATAAAATGGCAGGTTGGCATTTTTGCCATCTTCTCGTGTCTGCRTGGAAGAGGATCTGTCCAAGTGATCAGTGCATCTGTCAGTTGTGTATTTAATTACTGTAGCTGAAGGAAGGCAGAAGCAATTTGCTCTGTGCTGCGTCCTTGTGCAAAGATGACAGGAATACCTTATGGTATCCACATCCCTCCAGTAGGCTACCAGTGTTCTGTAGTCCACTCAAAATGAATACACTGATTTTTAAAGCTACAATTCAGTTAGGATGCCATCATGTCAGTGGTTAACCCGTGCTTAACTCACTCTCTTCCTTTGAGAATACGCATTACAAACATTGTGGTGCAGCATGGGGACTATAAAGCTGAGAGTTTGGGGTTTTACGGTGTGTATTTTRTAAGTAGAGGCCAGCCTTTCAGAGAACATCTCAAACCCTCTGAAAAACAGTGAGCAGAACACTTCTTAAAATGCACTGCCACCTTACTGTCCAGAGTTTCTTTGCTTTCCAGAATTTAATTTTTTTGCAGCATTTCTGTGTTAGTGCAGCTTTTCACACCAATTCACACACACACACACAAAAA